TTGATCTTGTTTCTCTTTTATAACATTTTTCAAAATGGCCACCATGATGTAGCATATTGTTATGAAAATGAATAACATTTGCTAACATGCTAATGCTTATCCACACTTGGAAGGTTCTTGCAGGCGTATGCTGCACTAGAAGAAATGAGAGTTTACCTGGGATGTGTGCACCGCTTTTTAAAATCAATGGATGCTGGTGTAAGCTGATCGTAGTGACTGGGAATCGGACAGTGTGATGGCAGAGTCATGCAGCAGAAGTAAAGGCAGTTGCCAGTCAGACGAAGCTGTGTTGTGCAGAGGTGAAGGACCAGAGGCAGGTGGGCTAGCTAACGGTGCTAATGACTGTCTCAGTCTCAGTGATGGACGTGGAGGCGGTGCGTGAGGGCCATCAGTCTGAGGTCATGCTGAGCATCGCCGAGGAGTTTCCTGCCGAGCTCTGCTTCACCCTGGTGTTTCACGGTCGCCAAGGAAACCTGGACCTGGTGGCCGACTCCCCAGAGGAGGCCCAGGCCTGGATCCAGGGAGTCCGGAAGCTGATCCACAAAGCCCAGACCATGGATGAGCAAGAGAGGCAGGACCAGTATCCCACATCTGCCTTAACCCCCTCCAGCAGCTTTCCTTTTACTGTTTCCAAATCTGAGTAAAAACTAAGAAATTAAAGATTTTAAATATGAGCGTTTGATTCTATGACTTGAGGTTTTCCTGAGCGTTTCTCAGATGGGTGCGAGACTGGTTCCAGAAAGCCGATAAGAACAAAGACGGGAAGATGAACTTCAAAGAAGTGAAGAAGCTGCTGAAGATGATGAACGTGGAGATGAACGAAGACAACGCTCTGCATCTGTTTACGGTACGGCTCTGACCCGATCGCAGGAGAAACTGGAGATTATCAACCAATAATGACTTTGTTTTAAGACCTGGGCTGATTAACTAGCTGATTGCAGGTGTGAGTGGAGAGTACACAGGGGAAATGAGGCTAACAGTCAAACTGAACGTAGGAAACATAATTAAACTAGAGTAACTAAGAAAAACTAGACAAGAAATAAGATAAATTCATTAAGAAAAAACTGAACTGCAGAAAAACAGGAACCAGACTAATCAGAATAAGAAACTATCACCAAATAATTATGAAACTCCAAAACAGCCCAAGATCCCAACAGACGTTTTCTGTTGTTGTAAAGACGTCTTCTAAAAACCGGTTCCTTTGTTTCCAGATGGCCGACAAGTGTGAGAGCGGCTCCCTGGAAATCGAGCAGTTTGTCCACTTCTACCAGATGCTGACCCAGAGAGACGAGGTGTGGAAGGTTTTCCAGGACTTCTCTGGAGACGGAGAGCGGCTAACGCTGGAGGAGCTGGAGACCTTCCTGAGGCTGGAGCAGGGCGAAGGGGACCAGAGCTCCCAGCATGCCCAGCAGCTCATCCAGCGCTACGAACCCTCTGAGTCGGGTGAATGCATGAGAATCCCCAATTCAGATCAGGAGTTATTCACACATTCACAGCAACATGTTCAGGGTTGTTTTACCAGTAAAACTACAATTTATCGAGCAGAAAAGGTTTAGTTTGACGTAACTCCATGCAGTGTCTCTACTGGTTTCACAAACTCAAATTTAAGACTTTTTAAGACCATTATGAATTAAATTTAAGACCTATATCACAAGAGACGTACAAAAAAATCACATATTTTAAACTGTGGTAGTGCCAAGCTTTTTTATGCAAAATGCACATCGAAGTACGTCGTCCAGCCAACTGGAAATAAATATACACTTAACCCTAATAGGTACAAACACACTAGCTAGCTAGCTAGGGTATATTAGCAGCTAGCGGTAGCCTCGACTGCTTCAAGTCACTGACTGCAATGAAAATGTCAAACTTCACCTGACAGAAAAATCCAGCAAGAAAAATAAACTACATAGACTATAAGAGATGAAATAATTCTGCTTTGTGGGACAATAAGAACTATTGATTACTTCTTTTTAAGGTAACTGACTGCATGGTGCAGCAAGCACAGAAACACAAACACAAATAATGTCCTTGAAAAACATTCCTATATGTAAAACATTCATAGGACACCAGCTGTGATTTATGTCACTAAAAGGCCCACAGTGAGTGCATTTAATCATGTTTTCATTCATCTCTACTGAACAAATAATAGAGAAAAATAATAAATATAGCCATGTCAACAATACAGACAGCTTCAGGTTTTTTACAATAAGCTGGAATTTATTGTGACAATGATAATAAAAATATTATTATGACGAGAAATGTATTGTGATTAATCATAGTAATATGATAAATGCTCACCCTTAGTCCTGCCACAACAAAATTTAAGACTTGTGATCCATGTATTTAAGGCCAACGTAAGAAATAAGGCCTTCATTTTAAATACATGAATTTAAGACTTTTTAAAAACGTACGGGAAAATAGAAACAATCATGTATTATTCTTTTTTTCCAGATATAACGGGTTAGACATTTAAACGTCCTCATTAAGCAGCAGAGTAAAGCCTGTGATGTTTCGTGTCTCTGCCTCCGTCCAGCCGTGAAGGAAAGCTCCATGTCGCTGGAGGGTTTCCAGATGTACCTGTGTTCCCAGGAGGGCTCCATATTCAACCCGGCGCTCCTGGAGCTTCACCAGGACATGAACCAGCCGCTCAGCCACTACTTCATCTCCTCCTCACACAACACCTACCTGCTGGAGGACCAGCTGAGAGGCCTGAGCAGCCTGGAGGCCTACATCCAGTGAGCACTGCACCAACTCACCACCAAAACACGTTTTCATGCTAAAACGGCAGAAAGGAAAATGTCTGACTGTCTTTATGACTCCTGAGTTGGTCAACCTTGTCAACCTTGAGTTGGTAGTAATGTGTCTCTGACTGCAGGGCGCTGAAGAGAGGCTGCCGCTGTGTGGAGGTGGACTGCTGGGACGGCAGCGACGGGGAACCCATCGTCTACCACGGCCACACGCTAACGTCAAAAATCCTCTTCAGAGACATTATCTCAACTCTCAAAGAGTACGCCTTCAAGGTGAGCACCAAACTTTGAGTTTTTCCAGCTGCTGTGGTTCTTTCTCTCTGCTCTGAGTCAAACCAACCTGTTCCCCTCCTGGCCTGTGGGGGCGCTGCACCAAGAACCACTGAAGGAAATGACATGAAAACCTCTGAAGACACTGAGAGCAACTTCCTTCTTCACCAGATGAAAACACAAATGAAGCAGCGTCACATTTTAACTCGTCAGTCTTTGTCTAAGGACCACAGTCATTTCTCCCATGATTTCTCCTGCTAGCGCTAAGCTAGCACGTTTGTTTTGGTTGTATTTACCCAGAATGCCCTGCGCTGTAGTCTACTTCCTGATTTTGGAGCGGTCTGCAGTCCGCTTGGCGTTCACAATGCATTTGAACCGAACCAGAGTTCACTTCAACCAAACCCAGACCAAGGTTTGGAGGACCGGAGTTTGGTTTTTTGGACCAGACAAATGGACTGGAGTTGGATTAAGGCGGACTGATCAGGGCTGGTGGGAATACACCCTTAGATTTATGATGGGTTTTAAAATTGTATTACATTTTACAGTTAACATATTTTTTATATTTTAAACTTTATCAATCAACAGATTTCAGCAACAATGCCATTCAAAGTCCTTCACATCATTAAAATACAAAGTCATAGAAATGCAGTCAACATCTGAACCATTACATTTTGCCACATACCGTCATCATAATGTTTACTGCACATCAGTCACTCTAGCTGAACCTGCTGTGGCTCGTTGTTGTCCTGAAACACAGGAAGCGTCACCATGGGAACCGTTCTCCTGACGATCTGCCTTATTGTTATCACGGGAAATGCCACTAATGAATTTGCGCTAACCTCTAATGTATTTGAGAGGTTGCGGCAGAGCCTTGACATAATTATCTCATAATGAACCCAAGTGAAAACAACTCAATCCTCAAACCACAAAGAGGAGGCAGCGCCTTGAGAAAAGAGATGAATGTTGACGCAGTCGACTGTTTTCATCACCGCAGGCAAAGCAGAAACTTACCAAAACAACAAGAACTGGTTATAATATTTGCGTTTAATGAGTTTATCCCCCTTCAGGTATCGGACTTCCCCGTCATCGTGTCTCTGGAGAATCACTGCGGCGTGGAGCAGCAGACCGTCATGGCCAGACACCTCCGCCATATTTTGGGCGAGATGCTGCTGACGGCCCCGCTGGACGGACAGATCCCCCTGATGCTTCCCTCGCCTCAGGTCTCAGGTTTCACGTTACTGTAGGCGACATAAACCCACCATGTTTAACTGTTTTAAGAGTTTGTTGTTTCAACACTTGAATGATTAAAGATCTCAGACTTTAAAGGTTTCTGTAGGCTGTTCCTCCTGGAGGTGTTCAGCACTACGAGGTTTTTGAAAAGGTTTCTGTCTAAAGAAAACCAGCAGAGCATCGAGTCACTGACCTGCAGAACCAGAACCAGAAAACTGCAAAACAGCTGAAACACTGATCATTTGGGACAAACGGCCATCTCTGCAGTTACATTTACCAAAGCAGAACAGAAGCCTGGTGCTGACCTCATTCAGAGACGGTGTCTTGGTGTTTGGGTCGGATCGTCGTCCGGGTTCTGTTCAGACGGATCAATATTCCGGATCTGTGTTGGTAGAAATGGAGCAAATAGAAGCTGTGGTCAGCAACCAGCCAGACTTGGAGTTTAACCTGCAAGTTCAAGTTTCACATTTCAACTTGAAGTTCAAGAAACACATTTAAGCCACAAAGGAGCTGAATGAGCTTCAAATATAAAAACACCAAATGTTTGGTTGTGGTTCTGATGCAGAGCAGAACCAGAAGACCTGAGGGGTCTGGAAGGTTGGTACAACAGCAGCAGATCTTTAAGCCGTTCAGTTAAAAACTAACAGAAATATTTTAAAGTGTATTCTCTGAGCTTCTGCAGGAATCAAAGCCACTAAAGAGAAACCATGCATGAGTTTCTCTGATGCTGAGACGTTAGTCCTCTGAACCTGGAGATGTTCTTCAGGTGACAGAAGGCCGACTTTGTAACTGTCTTTATGTGGCTCCCAGATCGTTCCTCTTCAGGTCCAAAGATGATCAGTTTAGTTCAGGAAGATCGGAGTAGACTTTCTGGAGTCGGTTTCTGGTCACTGTTTACTTCCTTACATAGTTTTTTTTCCAGACTCTTCAGGTATTTATCATCACTGTCAATAAAAAAAGTTTTTCCCAGACGTTGACCTGAACAATAAACCCTTTAGATCCAAAAATTAATTTTAAAAATTAATCAGCCTCCCTGTTGTCCATGTAGCACTAATACTAAAAGCAGTAGTAACTCTAACTTATAAACTCCTCTCCATTAGACCACTCACAACAATCAATGCTAAATGAAGTAATGGTGGAGCAACGCCACGAGAGACTCCACTGAGGGTTTAGTCGATGCTTTGCTTCCTTCAGTTAGGAGACAATACAGTGAAATACAATCTGGTTCCTGCAGAGACAAACTTATTCCTGTGATTCTTCACTGCAGGAGCTGAGGGGAAAGATTTTGCTGAAAGCCAAGAAACTCGGCGGGTTGGAAACCCACCTTGACGAAACGTTGACTGATGAAGTCAGCGACGAAGACGAGATGGCGAATGGTGACGCAGAGAGTCCGAGCGCAGAAGATCTGCCGGCGGAAACGACGAACAAGGTGGTTCAGATGCATCCAAGATAAAGATGATTTACTGTAGAGTCGGTTTCTAATCATTTGTTCTCTGAAGTTCAGTCAGGAAGTCATCGAGTATCGATAATGAAAATATTTCTCCTGGTTTTGTGAAAACAGATTCTGTTTCAAACGAATGAAGCACAGCGTTATGAATGCAAAAATAAAAATCTCAATATTTCCCAGGTATGTAAATTTATTAGAGTGAGGACAGATCTGGCTCCCTCTGGTGGTGGCTGAAAGACCAGGATGTCCACAGATGTAAGATTAAGGCTTTAAAATGTCTTAAATTCATTTTAAAAAATGTAAGTTTAAACACTTAAGTATGTAAATCATGGCAGGACTATTTAGTTATTTATATTATACGTTTCCTGTCATGCAGAAGTTAGAGTTGGACATCTTCACTGCATTCTATGATTTGAGGCGGTTGCAGCTATCGCTAACTAGCTGCTAATATATACATGTTAACTAGCTGGCTTACATTATGGGTCAAGTCCACATTTGTTGCTGTTTACTGGATGATGTTCGTCTTCACCATTGGCTCAGACGAACGTTCTTTGTCACTTTCAACGAACGTATGAAAGTGATAAGACTTTTCATTGAAAATGTTTTTTAAAAGTTTTAAATTTAAGTTGGTGAACCGTGAAGACGCAGCGATCTGGGAGCGCTACAGGCGGGTTGACTTCAACCCTCCTTCGCCACGTTGTTCCTTTCAGAAAAACACATGGAAAAGGCTAAACGACAAATTAGCTACGAGACTGCTGTTATCCAAGTTGTTTTTTGGTTTCTAATCTTTTTAGGTTGTTTTCCTCTAGAAGTCTGAATAAACGTGTGACCCAAAGACGTTGATTTAAAAAAATACAGCTGGAGCTAAATCCTGACTTGCTTTTATTTAAACTGAAGCACAGGTGAAGGAAAGTCGTCGTTGTGTGTCTCTGAGGCGACGCTCCTTGAGGTTTAGCTCCTGTTTACTGGTTTCAGACATGATTTGTTGCCTGTTTGCTCTGAGAAGATGTTGATGATGAGTCAACAGTCCCAGTGTTCATGTTTATCCAAGTTTATTAAAAATGTTTAGCAATCCAGCAAAATCTGACTTTCTGATCATTTACCAAGCCTCTGCTGGTCTAACCGGATGTTTCTGTAACCCTGAAGAATCAGGCGTTCAAGCAGAAAATGCAACCATTAATCCAGTAGTTTGTCTTTTAAATATCCTATGTGTGTTTTGCAGAAGTCCAAACTGTCCAGGGAGCTGTCAGACCTGGTGGTCTACTGCAAGAGCGTCCACTTTCACGGCTTTGAGCACGCTCGCTCTCAGGCCAAGTGCTATGAGATGTCGTCCTTCTCTGAGTCCAAAGCAAAGAAGCTCGCTAAGGACGCAGGTAAGAAGGATTTATTGTAGAAGTTACGACTTTTTAGACAGAACATCGTGCAGGAGCTCAGTGTTCAGCTGTGTGTTCCTCTTTAGGGTCAGAGTTCGTTCGGTGCAACGCTCGGCAGCTGTGCAGGACGTATCCCAGCGGCCTGAGGACCGACTCGTCCAACTACAACCCTCAGGACATGTGGAACGTGGGCTGCCAGATCGGTATGAGCAAACACCGCCACCTGCTGGTGTCAGCTAAATACCGAACATTTCCTGTGTCATTTAAACATGACTGACTTTCAGTTGAAGGTTTGCATAATGCATCATTTAAATATGGGCAAACTGTCAGTTATTTTAGAAGCTAACCTTTGAGAATCAGATTTGGTTCATCCAGAGAACTTGAATAATTCCCCCGTAAGTCTGACGAGTGGCGGCGTGTCGCCGTTCTGACCTCTGCACAGATCGGCCATTTCTAACGCCACAGTCAAAAACTAAGAAATAATTTACTTAATTTAGCATAATTAGCAAGTTAGCCTAGTAGCTAAATACTTAATTGGGTCAATAAATATTTAGCTTGCTGGGTATTTAGTCTGCTAACTAAACAAACCTCAAAATAAATATTTAGCTTACTAACTATTAGTTATTTAGGAAGTTAAATTTGTTGATGCTAACAAGCTGAATATTTTGCGTCACACTAAATATTTAGTTAGCAACCTAAATATTTATCTCTGAGCTAAATATTTAGCTTACTAAATGTGACATTTATAAATGAATGAATTTATAAATATAAAATTGAAGCACAATGTTTCTCTCTTCTGAAAGAAGAGAAAGAATAATCCATATTATTGCTGTTGATTTTTGACTTGGCAGCTTTACAAACGCCACACAAACAGAACTGCTTAACAAACGATTCATTCAGGATGTAAAATGTTTAAATGTGTGCAAAGAAAGTCAGACAGGGATAAATAAAGCTGGGAGTGTTTGCTGAGCAGATGATTCTCTCAGGATCAGAAGATTCCTGAAGCAGAGAATCGTCTCGTCTCTGATTCATTTTTATGTCTGGAAAAATGAAAGTTAATGAATTTATTTTCCTCTCCGTCTCAAAGTGGCTCTGAACTTCCAGACGGCTGGCCTGGAGATGGACCTGAACGACGGCCGCTTCAGGCAGAACGGTTGCTGCGGTTACGTCCTCAAGCCCGACTTCATGAGAGACGCCGACAGCCGCTTCAGTCCGGACCGACCCGAGGACCGGCCGGGCTACAAGCCGGCGCGCCTGTCCATCCAGGTCCAGCTGTTCTCCAGCGCGGGTCAGAGGGTGTTTGGTGGGTCAGGTGAGTCTCCAGGTGACTGTGTGTGTGTGTGTGTGTGTGTCGCGGCAGGTGATCAGCGCGCAGCAGCTGCCCAAGGTCAACCAGAAGGAGGGATCCATCGTGGACCCGCTGGTCAGGGTGGAGATCTACGGCGTCCCTCAGGACCAAACCAGGGAGGAGACCAGCCACATCAACAACAACGGTACGAAACTCACCAGCCCACCTGCAGAACAGCGGGGTGTTCACCTGGCTGCTGACCTCTGACCTCCAGGGTTCAACCCCGTCTGGAACGAGACTCTGAACTTCGTCGTCCACTCGCCTGAGCTGGCGCTGGTCCGCTTCGTGGTGGAGGACCACGACAAAACGTCCAGGAACGACTTCATCGGACAGTTCACACTTCCCTTCACCTGCATCCAGCCAGGTGAGCCCTACGGCAAGCTGTTATCACATAAAATCAGTTTCATCAGGAATGTAATTAGAGACGTTTTGACTAGTAGACACATCTATAACTTAAGCGCCACACAAAGAAAAGGTAAAATGAAATTACTTTTTCATGTAAAGCCATAATTTTACCTGCATAAAGTTATATTGACATTATTCTCCTAGTATTTCAACTTTATTCTCATATGACTTTATTCTCGTAATTTTACGATTATTTTTTCTTAGCGTTGCCCCAATAATATGTTGTAACATTTTGAACATCCTGCATAATAACTTAATATATCTGCATTCACATTTTGTCTAAGAGGAAGAAGTCAAAATAAATTTAGTCACATTTTGATGATTAAATCCCTTTCAAGATTTATCAAAATATGTCATCTGAAGAGTCGACATCTGTAATTACAGTTCAGGGTTTCAAATCTAACTGTAATTTGTCAAAATTACATTTTTATAGATCTGAATTAAGAGCCTTTGTGTAAGCCCCACGATGCTGCCACTGAGCTGTCCGAATAGATGCCTGTAGACTTTTGGATTTTCTGCACAAAATAGTCAGATAATGCCACAATAGAGAAAGAAACCAGCATTATGGGACAGAAAGAGACGGCAAATGCAGAAGTCTGCTAATAATTTCTGCTTTTATTCTCTGCCAAGACTCAAAGAATTCACTTAAAACGGCTTTGAGGAGCTAAAAGTGCTGCTGACAGTGAAACATTTCAAAATTGACTTTTCCCCTTTTTTAATTTTAATGTCAAAATGCTGCATCAATCTGTGATGTTTTGACAAACACAAAAATTACTCAAAAATATCAATGATGTCATTCTGTCATCTGGAATGTGATTTCACATACTCAGATGAGACCGATTTTATGTCAACACAGTTTGCCATACCTTTTGCAGCATCATTATTTGTTTTCAAAATATCTCCAATTTAATTTGCACTACTTTTGGCATCATTAATAACAGTCAAAATGTAAGTGTGTTGAATCTGATTTTATGTTAAACTGGCCTGCCATACCTTTTGTTCCATCCAGGCTACCGTCACATCCACCTGCTGTCTAAAGACGGGACGGCCATCCCTCCGTCCTCCGTCTTCGTTAACGTCAGCGTCTCAGAGCTCACATGAAGGCGTCACGGCGTCTCTGACCTCACAGCTTCACTCCAGTTCATGTTTTAGTGTTTTAGTTGTTTCTAAACTCATAGAAAACTTTCTAATGTTTACTGACTCACCTGGAACATCGTTTTTACATTTTTACCTGGACTCACCTGCTGGGCCAAATGAGATGAAGGAAAACTCCAGTGTTACTATTTAAGAACAAACAGGTGCATCATTCCAGTCAGTCTGAGGTTTAAATTTAGACTTTGACTAGGACATTGCAGCACTTTGATCCTCATCTTTGTCTCCCATTTTGTTGTGGATTGAGGTGTAAAATCAACAACGCAGGACTCAACTTCTGCATTTTATTCTTTTTCTCTGAGAATATTTTGAAGCTTAAAGATCCATGATTAGTTGAAGCAACAGATTTTATCGTTTATNAGCTGGCTTACATTATGGGTCAAGTCCACATTTGTTGCTGTTTACTGGATGATGTTCGTCTTCACCATTGGCTCAGACGAACGTTCTTTGTCACTTTCAACGAACGTATGAAAGTGATAAGACTTTTCATTGAAAATGTTTTTTAAAAGTTTTAAATTTAAGTTGGTGAACCGTGAAGACGCAGCGATCTGGGAGCGCTACAGGCGGGTTGACTTCAACCCTCCTTCGCCACGTTGTTCCTTTCAGAAAAACACATGGAAAAGGCTAAACGACAAATTAGCTACGAGACTGCTGTTATCCAAGTTGTTTTTTGGTTTCTAATCTTTTTAGGTTGTTTTCCTCTAGAAGTCTGAATAAACGTGTGACCCAAAGACGTTGATTTAAAAAAATACAGCTGGAGCTAAATCCTGACTTGCTTTTATTTAAACTGAAGCACAGGTGAAGGAAAGTCGTCGTTGTGTGTCTCTGAGGCGACGCTCCTTGAGGTTTAGCTCCTGTTTACTGGTTTCAGACATGATTTGTTGCCTGTTTGCTCTGAGAAGATGTTGATGATGAGTCAACAGTCCCAGTGTTCATGTTTATCCAAGTTTATTAAAAATGTTTAGCAATCCAGCAAAATCTGACTTTCTGATCATTTACCAAGCCTCTGCTGGTCTAACCGGATGTTTCTGTAACCCTGAAGAATCAGGCGTTCAAGCAGAAAATGCAACCATTAATCCAGTAGTTTGTCTTTTAAATATCCTATGTGTGTTTTGCAGAAGTCCAAACTGTCCAGGGAGCTGTCAGACCTGGTGGTCTACTGCAAGAGCGTCCACTTTCACGGCTTTGAGCACGCTCGCTCTCAGGCCAAGTGCTATGAGATGTCGTCCTTCTCTGAGTCCAAAGCAAAGAAGCTCGCTAAGGACGCAGGTAAGAAGGATTTATTGTAGAAGTTACGACTTTTTAGACAGAACATCGTGCAGGAGCTCAGTGTTCAGCTGTGTGTTCCTCTTTAGGGTCAGAGTTCGTTCGGTGCAACGCTCGGCAGCTGTGCAGGACGTATCCCAGCGGCCTGAGGACCGACTCGTCCAACTACAACCCTCAGGACATGTGGAACGTGGGCTGCCAGATCGGTATGAGCAAACACCGCCACCTGCTGGTGTCAGCTAAATACCGAACATTTCCTGTGTCATTTAAACATGACTGACTTTCAGTTGAAGGTTTGCATAATGCATCATTTAAATATGGGCAAACTGTCAGTTATTTTAGAAGCTAACCTTTGAGAATCAGATTTGGTTCATCCAGAGAACTTGAATAATTCCCCCGTAAGTCTGACGAGTGGCGGCGTGTCGCCGTTCTGACCTCTGCACAGATCGGCCATTTCTAACGCCACAGTCAAAAACTAAGAAATAATTTACTTAATTTAGCATAATTAGCAAGTTAGCCTAGTAGCTAAATACTTAATTGGGTCAATAAATATTTAGCTTGCTGGGTATTTAGTCTGCTAACTAAACAAACCTCAAAATAAATATTTAGCTTACTAACTATTAGTTATTTAGGAAGTTAAATTTGTTGATGCTAACAAGCTGAATATTTTGCGTCACACTAAATATTTAGTTAGCAACCTAAATATTTATCTCTGAGCTAAATATTTAGCTTACTAAATGTGACATTTATAAATGAATGAATTTATAAATATAAAATTGAAGCACAATGTTTCTCTCTTCTGAAAGAAGAGAAAGAATAATCCATATTATTGCTGTTGATTTTTGACTTGGCAGCTTTACAAACGCCACACAAACAGAACTGCTTAACAAACGATTCATTCAGGATGTAAAATGTTTAAATGTGTGCAAAGAAAGTCAGACAGGGATAAATAAAGCTGGGAGTGTTTGCTGAGCAGATGATTCTCTCAGGATCAGAAGATTCCTGAAGCAGAGAATCGTCTCGTCTCTGATTCATTTTTATGTCTGGAAAAATGAAAGTTAATGAATTTATTTTCCTCTCCGTCTCAAAGTGGCTCTGAACTTCCAGACGGCTGGCCTGGAGATGGACCTGAACGACGGCCGCTTCAGGCAGAACGGTTGCTGCGGTTACGTCCTCAAGCCCGACTTCATGAGAGACGCCGACAGCCGCTTCAGTCCGGACCGACCCGAGGACCGGCCGGGCTACAAGCCGGCGCGCCTGTCCATCCAGGTCCAGCTGTTCTCCAGCGCGGGTCAGAGGGTGTTTGGTGGGTCAGGTGAGTCTCCAGGTGACTGTGTGTGTGTGTGTGTGTGTGTCGCGGCAGGTGATCAGCGCGCAGCAGCTGCCCAAGGTCAACCAGAAGGAGGGATCCATCGTGGACCCGCTGGTCAGGGTGGAGATCTACGGCGTCCCTCAGGACCAAACCAGGGAGGAGACCAGCCACATCAACAACAACGGTACGAAACTCACCAGCCCACCTGCAGAACAGCGGGGTGTTCACCTGGCTGCTGACCTCTGACCTCCAGGGTTCAACCCCGTCTGGAACGAGACTCTGAACTTCGTCGTCCACTCGCCTGAGCTGGCGCTGGTCCGCTTCGTGGTGGAGGACCACGACAAAACGTCCAGGAACGACTTCATCGGACAGTTCACACTTCCCTTCACCTGCATCCAGCCAGGTGAGCCCTACGGCAAGCTGTTATCACATAAAATCAGTTTCATCAGGAATGTAATTAGAGACGTTTTGACTAGTAGACACATCTATAACTTAAGCGCCACACAAAGAAAAGGTAAAATGAAATTACTTTTTCATGTAAAGCCATAATTTTACCTGCATAAAGTTATATTGACATTATTCTCCTAGTATTTCAACTTTATTCTCATATGACTTTATTCTCGTAATTTTACGATTATTTTTTCTTAGCGTTGCCCCAATAATATGTTGTAACATTTTGAACATCCTGCATAATAACTTAATATATCTGCATTCACATTTTGTCTAAGAGGAAGAAGTCAAAATAAATTTAGTCACATTTTGATGATTAAATCCCTTTCAAGATTTATCAAAATATGTCATCTGAAGAGTCGACATCTGTAATTACAGTTCAGGGTTTCAAATCTAACTGTAATTTGTCAAAATTACATTTTTATAGATCTGAATTAAGAGCCTTTGTGTAAGCCCCACGATGCTGCCACTGAGCTGTCCGAATAGATGCCTGTAGACTTTTGGATTTTCTGCACAAAATAGTCAGATAATGCCACAATAGAGAAAGAAACCAGCATTATGGGACAGAAAGAGACGGCAAATGCAGAAGTCTGCTAATAATTTCTGCTTTTATTCTCTGCCAAGACTCAAAGAATTCACTTAAAACGGCTTTGAGGAGCTAAAAGTGCTGCTGACAGTGAAACATTTCAAAATTGACTTTTCCCCTTTTTTAATTTTAATGTCAAAATGCTGCATCAATCTGTGATGTTTTGACAAACACAAAAATTACTCAAAAATATCAATGATGTCATTCTGTCATCTGGAATGTGATTTCACATACTCAGATGAGACCGATTTTATGTCAACACAGTTTGCCATACCTTTTGCAGCATCATTATTTGTTTTCAAAATATCTCCAATTTAATTTGCACTACTTTTGGCATCATTAATAACAGTCAAAATGTAAGTGTGTTGAATCTGATTTTATGTTAAACTGGCCTGCCATACCTTTTGTTCCATCCAGGCTACCGTCACATCCACCTGCTGTCTAAAGACGGGACGGCCATCCCTCCGTCCTCCGTCTTCGTTAACGTCAGCGTCTCAGAGCTCACATGAAGGCGTCACGGCGTCTCTGACCTCACAGCTTCACTCCAGTTCATGTTTTAGTGTTTTAGTTGTTTCTAAACTCATAGAAAACTTTCTAATGTTTACTGACTCACCTGGAACATCGTTTTTACATTTTTACCTGGACTCACCTGCTGGGCCAAATGAGATGAAGGAAAACTCCAGTGTTACTATTTAAGAACAAACAGGTGCATCATTCCAGTCAGTCTGAGGTTTAAATTTAGACTTTGACTAGGACATTGCAGCACTTTGATCCTCATCTTTGTCTCCCATTTTGTTGTGGATTGAGGTGTAAAATCAACAACGCAGGACTCAACTTCTGCATTTTATTCTTTTTCTCTGAGAATATTTTGAAGCTTAAAGATCCATGATTAGTTGAAGCAACAGATTTTATCGTTTATTTCACAAGTAAAAACAACAGGAAAGATACTGTAGGAAGTTTAGCTTTTATAAGTTTAAATGAAATATCGTTACATGGACATTGCCATGTTGTGTAGATGATGTATGCTAGGTGCTACAGCGCTAGCTCTGTCCAGCCAGAAGTTGTTTTGTGACTTTAGTAACATTCAACTCTTTGAATCCAAACCTGTTGAAATATAAAGGAAATGAAGATGAGGAGGACCAAGCAGAGGAAGAGCAGAAAGTCGTCTGAAAAAGCTGGAGTTTGTGCTGCTGCTGCTTGAAATGCTAACCAAGAAGGATAGCATTAGCTAACTCAGTCTGTTTACGGTTAGCATCAGGATCAAAACATTTTCTCAAATACATTAGAATGTTGTTTTTACAAAGACGCTTCATTGTCACTTTAACCATCCGCTCATATTTCAATTTGTTTTGATTTAGAATTAGCTCCTGCTAATGTTTTTAGCTCTTGCTAATGGTGTTAGCTCCTGCTACTGGTGTTAGCTGTAGCTGAAGTAATAAACAGTAGATCAGAAGCCAGTCCCGTTGGTTTGATATCTCGTGTTAACAGCAGTTTCTCAGTTTGGACGTTTCTGTTTTTAGACTCCAGTTGACTATAAACTACCCGCGTCACCGGCCCAGCATGCATTGCAGGTGGTAATAAAGATGTATAAGTTTTGAAGTAGCTATGAGTCTTTATTCATTACAGTTTTTAGGTCATTAGGAAAATGACTGTATATTTAGTGGTAGATCCTCTCAGATGTTTTCATGTAGTCTGAACATTTTGCTGCATGTTGAACCTGCCTGAACGAACAGCATCATAACTGGACGACTGTTGGACACGAATGTATAAAATGCCAAATATCAGTGTTATACATATAAAAATAGACCTTATTAAAAACAGTGTTAACTGATGATGTTCTACCTTATGGCTCATTTCTTTGTTCATAAACACAATGTAGGTTTTTTCTCAAATGGAACCCAGAGTCAGCCCATAAATATTCATACATCTCAGGATCTTCACTGGGTTTCTGTGTTTAGTTTTGCTGCTCCGTCTCCTTCAGAAACAGCCTCTTCTTCCCTGGCTGGACGACGATGCTCCCTGACCGCTGTGGCGTGTGGCGCCCCCTGCAGGGCCTCCTTCAGGGTGAGGATGCTCCGGTCTGAGTCCCGCAGCACGCCCTGCTCCGCCGACTCTTCGGGATGGTGCCTCTGCAGATGTTTGACCACCTGGAACCGCTGCTTGGCTCTGTAAGCGCAGTGACGGCAGGAAAATGGCCGCTGCTCCGTGTGGGACAGGAAGTGATGTCGGAGACCCGCGGGCCACCGGAACGATTTCTGGCACAGTCCACAGGCGTACGCTCGGTCGTCCGTGTGCTTCTTCTGGTGGGTCTTCAGGATGAAGCTGGTTTTAAAGGCTTTGCCGCATTTCTCGCAGACATAAGGTCGGAGGTCGCGGTGCTGCGTGTCCCGGTGTGCGCGCAGGGTGTCTGCTCGGTTGGTGCGGTACCCACACTCATCGCAGGGGTATGGTTTCTCCCCTGAAGGATTAAACAGCAGATATGTCAGATTACCACTTCGTTCTCGTGTTATTACCATGTTCTTTGGCGTTCGTACCCGTGTGCTTGGTCATGTGGTACTTCAGCTGCGTCGCCCATTTGCATTTGTAGCCGCACTCTGGGCAAAGGTACTTCTTCTCTTCTTGGTGAACTCTCATATGCAGCTTTGGTAGAAATGAGTGAAAAAATTGATGATTCTTATATTGTTTACAGCAAAGCAGATAAATTCAGTCTAAACACACAGCTGACATCATATTAGTGACGTGAAAAACCTGAATGCTGACCTCAGGACAGATCCACATGAAGCAACCGGAGAAAGCCCCACAAGCACACCATAAACATTAGCTATGCTAATGCTAAAGTGCAACACCAGCATGCTAGCTAGCAGAAGCATTCTAGTTAGCATGTTGATTAGCTACAACTTTGACTAGGACATCTAGTCCTAGTCAAAGGACTAGGACGTAGCTGCTAGGTTAGCAGCTACATGCTAGGTTAGCATGTAGCTAGCAACATGTAGTATGTTGGTTAGCTACATGCTAGCCACCCTGATTGCTAAGGTGATGCATTCTGGGTACAGAAAAAAACTAATTTCTAAACATCATGCATGGAGAACGAGAGGAGAGGAAACAGAAGTGCTGTGTAAAAAGTCTTCACCTACTTCAAAATAAGAGCGTGAATATAAATGTCTAACTACTTAAAGAAGAGTAGCGCTTTAGAATTTATCTGGAAAAAATAATTTACGAGGAGCTGAGTGCACCAAATGTTTTCGGTGTTAGTAAAAATGCTAACGCGTCCATCGATAAACTAGCTCCATTATTAGCGTTTTAGCGGTTTGAGTATGTAGAGTGCAAATCAATGATAAAGGCCGATTGGGCAGAACTTCAACCACTAGGTAGCAGCAAACTGCTTCTAAGATGATCCTTGGTATGTGTAGAATTTGCATCAATGGGCATTAGCATAACATAACCAACTCCGGCAGGATTAAGACCAGAAGTGGTTTGAGGAAATTTCACAGTGACAATCTACAGCCTATTTAATACAAGAAAGTTGCATTAATTTTGATATCTGGGTGTTGGTCTCTACCTTCAGCCTGGACGGGTCAGAGCAGGCGTAGCTGCACTGCTCACAGCTGTACGGTTTCTCCCCGGTGTGAATGCGAATGTGCCACGTGATCTTCTGCTTGTTCCGGGTTGCGTACTCGCAGTCTGTGCATTTGTACAAGCGCTTGCTCCCATGCGACCGGAGGTGCTGCTCCAGCACCAACTGATGCCAACAGGCGAACTCGCATGTGCTGCAGCGCAGAGGCTTGTCCTCTGATGACCCCCCCTCATGTTGGCTCAGAAGGTGCTGCGCTAGCAGCGGCTTTGTTTTGGCTGCGAAGGGGCAGAGCTGGCATGGGTGCGCCAGGTGAGTCCTCTGATGAAGGCCGAGGCTTTCTTCAGTCTGAAACTCCTCCTGGCAGGTGCTGCATTTCAGCTCCGGGTGTCTGCTCTGCTGGTGCTGCTTCAGTGTCCCTTCGCTGCTGCATGTAAAGTCACATTTCTTACATGAAAAGCAGGCCTGAAGTTGGTGCGCCCGTTTGCAGTGGTTCCTCAAAGCAATCTCGGAACTAAACCGAGCGTTGCAGTGACTGCAGATGTGCTGCAACTCCCCTGAGTGACACCGGCGGCTGTGACGTCTGACGTCGTCAAGAGCGTAGCCGGCGAAGTCGCACAGCGGGCAGAAGTGTGTGGGCTGTTTGTCGTGGATGCGCAGCTTATGCTGGCGCAGTTTGGACACTGCGCCGAAGGTTTTGTGGCATGCGTCGCAGCTGTGACGGCCGACGCCCGTGTGCAGAGACTCGTGCTCCTCCAGGCGATGGCGTCTGGAGGAGCTGAAGGAGCAGCAGCTGCAGCGATACATCCGAGGCTGCTGGCAGTGCAACTGATCCTCTACTGGATCCTGAAGCTTTTCCTCCTTATGATCAGACAGAATGTGACGGGATAGAAAACGTTTGGATCTGGCTGAATAAGGGCAGCTGGGACACCGGACCTCAAATGGCTGCAGACGGCCTTTCTTGTCGGCCACAGCTCTTCTCTGACTACATCTTAATGCATAGATTGGTCGGTTTTCTCCTGAACTGCCATCATTGGTCCTTCCTACATGGTCCTCCATACTTTTGAGTTTTTCACTCCCTTGTTTGTCTGTTTCAGAAACGATCTGACCTGAAGCCTGTCTGCAGGTCTGGAGGTGTTTTTTAAAGGTTGCCAGCTTGGCTGAGGAAAAGCTGCACAGCTCACATTCAAATTTACCGTCTCTTTTAACATACTGGGCTTTGCTCTGTGATGTTTTAGTTGAAACTTTCTTTGTATTTGCCATGATTTCACCAGCCTGAGGTTCCGATACGGTGGTTGTTTGGATATGGGCGGTGCACGGTTCTTGTTGATGTTTCAGTTCTGTGGACGTCTCGTTTGCAGAGGACAGAAGTTCAGTCTGATGTGAACTTGTTTCTCTTTGTGGTCGTTCGGATTCTGCCGGCGCTGCAGCAGGATTTCCTGGTGAAGCTGTGTTGGGTGGAGGAGCAGGATGCTGATTTTTAAGGTGGTGATCAAACCTGCGCCTCTGTTTGAATCGCTCCCCACAGGAAGGGCACTCATGTCCCTTCGCCCTGCGGTGACACAGATGTCTGCAGTGCTGGTCCAAAGCCGTCTCCTTGCTGGTTACGTAGGAACATTTGTCACAACGGTAAACAGCTTCCGATGGCACCGCCAGCATCTGGACCCGTCCCTCTAGAACCATGGCGTCTGCTTGGTCCTTGTCGTGTTTCCTCAAAGCTTTCAGTCGGACCTCAGAGGGTGACGGGTCGGTTTCCTCGGCTGGAAAAGCAGAACCGATAGTTGAAACTTTATTTGCCCCCTCAGGTGTGAAGGTCCGATCGTCCACAGACTCAACAGATCGACTCGGGTCGGTCGGAGGCTCACTTGCATCTTCTACGTCGCTTTGCTCACCAGGTCCGTCTTGCATTCCTAGATTGTCTTCCTCCAACGAGCTGGCAGGTGTGGACGGGTCTAACACGGTTGACGGCGGTGGGCTTTGGCAGTTTCCGTTCTCATTTCTTGTGTTTTGGTCCGGTAAAGTGGTCAACACCAGAGTGCAGTACTGCTCCGGACTGCTGGCGGATCTTTCAGAAATGGCTTCATGACCAACGAGGGCGAGAACCGAACCGTCGGCAGAGCTTTCTGTGCAGGGATCGGTTCCTGACTGGTTCTGCTGTGTACCAGCAGCTGGTTGTTTGGACTTCCTGTAAAAGTCCTCCATGAACTCTGCTGAGCTCCTCTCCTTTTCCTTCGCTGCGTAGTTCTCCAGCCAGGCTGCATCTCCAGGGACGTAGCCGTGGACCTTCCTCTTGTGCAGGAAGAGGCTGATGCTGCTGTAGGACGAGTAGGAGCAGAGCGCACAGCCAAACTCCTTCAGCTTGGTGTGTTTGCAGTTCTCGTGGTTCTGGAGCGCCTGCCGGTACCAGGTGGTATATGAGCAGTACTTGCACTTATATGCAGCAGACTTCTTCTCCTCTCCAGAGTGTTTGGCCAGCATGTGGTTGCGGAGCTCATACTTGCGCTTGCAGGCGTAAGCGCAGATCTCACACATGAGGGATTTAGGTTGATGTCGTAATTTGTGACTCTTAAGCTGATCCGTTCGGTGGCATCGGTAGGAGCACTGATCACAGGAATATCTGGGAGAGACAGACAAAATCACAGTCAGTAAAACACCAATAATTTGGGTCACCTGACCTTTTACCAGAGAAAAAACATGATGGTTCGTATTTTGAACATGTTTCAAACTAAAGAAAGAAAGGATATTTTTAAGTGGTTAAATGTTTTTGTTTCCACAATCAAAAAGGATCAGTTGAAAAGTGTGTTTTGTAATTTCTGTGGTTTTGTACCTGAGGTCTCCGGCGTGTTTCCTCATGTGGACGGTCAGGTAATGCTTCCACTTAGTGACGTATCCACACTCGGCACACATGAAGTTCTTGTGCTCAGTGTGAACCAGCATGTGTTTGGAGAGGTACGACTCGTCTCTGCACCTGAACTCACACAAGCTGCACTTGTGAGGTTTCTCACCTGGAGAGAGCAGACAGACGTCACCACGTTTCAGCCAGAGAAACTCCTCCAGTGTGTAAAGTCACACAGTCAGAAAATAACAGCAATAATTTGGATTACTTATCCTGTCCTGTTCAAAAAATGGGGGTTCACTTTTAACCATGTTATTCATTTATATAAAAATGTCACAATTTCAAGCTATATAGTTAGTTAGAAAACTAAATATTTAGCTTGCTCATGAAATATTTGGGCCAGAGCTAAGTATTTAGTTTGGTGACAAAATATTTAGGTTCAAAATGTGATATTTATAGGTGAATGAGTAACACGGTGGAAGTGGGACTGAAAACCAGGCCAGGTTGTTTGTTCTGAATAATCTCTGCTGGTTTCTGCTGCAGCTTCGCTCCTCCTCACCGCTGTGCATCAGGACGTGTCGCTTCAGGCCGCGTTTATGCGCCGTGACGTAGCTGCACTGAGAGCAGCGGTGGATCTTCTCGTTGGCGTGGAGACGCGCAACGTGCTGCTCGTACTCCACGGGGTTAAAGGTCACTAAGGGGCAAAAGTCACAGCAGAGCTTTTGTAGGCCGGTGTGGCCGAGTCGCCGGTGCTGCAGGAAGACGTTCTTATTGGAGCAGGAGAAGCTGCAGTCTGAGCAGCGGTAGGCCAGGTGGGTCCGGTAGTGATCCTCCATGTCTGCGTCGCATTTGAAGACGGCGCTGCAGGCGTGATGACGACACGCCGCCGCTCTGATCCCGTGCTCCTCAGCGGCGTGTCGGATCAGGTCTTTGCTCTGGGAGCTCTGGAAGGAGCAGCCGTCCTGGAAGCAGGCCACCGGCGCCCCGTCCCTCCGGATGTTGTGTGTCTTCATGTGAGCCTTCAGGGCCCGGCTGTGGAGGAAGCTTTGACTGCAGGCGGGACAGAGGAAGCTCTGGCTGCTGTCAGCCTCCTCTGGATGCCTGCTGGCCACGTGGCGCCGGACGGCGTTTCTCTCCACGGCTGAATAATCACACAGGTGGCAGCGGTGGGCCTTCTCGCCGGCCTCCCGCAGGCGGTGTATGCGCAGTTTGCTCTGGCTGGTGAAGAAACAGTCGCAGGTGGGGCACTGGAGGCTCGGGTCGGGGAAGTGCAACCGAAGGTGCTCCTGCAGGTGGGAGCGCATCTTGAAGCAGCGCCGACATTTGGGGCAGGCGTGGGTACGATAAACGTCCTCCGATCCCTCAGAAAGGTAGGCTGGAGGACAAGAACAAACCGGTTCAACAAACAACCCCTCCTCCTCAGAAAGCACGTGGCGACAGTGGAGAGAAACGACTCCTTTAAATGTGAAGACGCCTCCAGCAGAACCAGGGTCAGTAGGAGTGACCCCACCTCCTGGGGTTTACCTGCAGGTGGCGCTGAAGCGTTGGGGTTGTTTTTCTCCACCGGTTGTTTCCCTGACGGTGATCGGCTCCGGCTCCCTAAAGAGACGCAACGTTTTCAGGATGAAGAAGAAGAAGAACAATCAGCCTCTGCTGTTCTGGAGGAGACGCCTCCTCCAGGTGTTTACCTGGACCGGTCCGGACCGGCAGCTTTGGACAGCGGTGGGAGACGGACGTGGACATGTCCGAGATGTTCTGTCCACATTTATCACAGACATGTTGCGCCGCCTCCATCATGCCTGAAAAACACAAAAAGCTTCTACAAATCCTCATTTCCTTATAATTGAAATTGATAATCTAAATTTGGAAAAATATCTTTGAATCTTTTTGAAAATGAATCTTTTTAAACATTTTTTTATTATTTATTTTCAGTAGAGCCCCGGATGTTTTGTTTACTTCAGCCTTTTATCAATGACAGAGAAATTTTATGCTCTTTTTAACCAAGTTCAAGTATCCACATTAACAGCAGAAAACTGGAGATTTGCCTAGGAGCAGTGACTCAAGAAGAGTAGGGATTCAAAAAATAAAATAAAAAATAATAGACAAAAGTCCTAAAACATAATCTGCACAAAAAACCAGATTCATCTGTTATCCTTCTACTGTCTGCTTGAAGTTTCGTTTGAAATAACAGGAAGTAGCTTCTACCATGAAGGAAAGGGCCCAGACGTGACCAGTCATTAGTAAAGCAAGGTGGAGGCTGTGTCATGGGTTGGTCACACATTTTCACCCAGTAGTGTGGGGTTTCTAGGAAACAACTGACATTTTAGCATGAAAGGAATCCTAAACTGTCATGAACTCCCAAAATAAAACCGTGTTTCATTGATCCATATAAAGTTTTCTGGTTGCATGTTTGAACAAAGTCCTGCTTTTTGTCCAGTTTTCCCTCTGGAACATAAAGAAATGAGGGTCGAACCAAGACTTTTGCACAGTTCTACATCATTATGAGTTGCAAGCCGCTGTTACAGAAGGAGCAGATCTGTGTAACGGTAACAGAGCTGCTGCAACAACAGATAATAAACAGATTTATAGTCAAATAAGTCGGAAGCCAAACCTCCTGCCTGAGCTCTCACCCTCACTGTCCGCCTGACAAACAAAAGATCAACATTCAGGTTTCGGTTCTCATCGCCTCCTCTCGTTTCTGGACTCGTTTCTGTTGTTGTTAATCTAAATCCCTGATTACAAGCAGACTGGCCTGCTGCGAGCCTTTATTTACTCATTATAGTATGAGTAAATAGACCGACCGTTATCACTAACTTAGCCTAGGTTAGCTAGCTGCTAATGAGGCGGTGCTGAAGTTAGCTTCCGATTTGTTACTTCAGTAACGTTAAATGTTCACACAGCGGTAAAAATGTAAAAATCAAATTTTTTATTTTAAGCCTAAAAAATATAATTAATTTGGTGGTCTTAGATTTCATCACAAAACAGGCTAAGATTACATACTACGTATTTGATTATTACATAAATGTAGATTAATTTGCAATCTGATAGGTTCAGTTCTAACTTCCTCCTGACATGAACAAGGCACTTAACTAATAGTTCCCTACAGATAAATATATCAGTGTATTAATAAGCTAATGTTTGTGGGTATGACTGGGTGAAAGTCCAGGAACCAGGTTCAGTCCAGGTTTAACTTGTGTAAAAATTTTATTTAAAGTGGAGTAAAAACCCAAAATAAGAAGTGAAATTTGTCTTTGTTATTTTCACAAATGGAATAAAAGTTTGACAAATAACAAGGAATCGTTAAATAATCCAGGTGTTGTACTAGAACTGAAGATAATCCCGATTACATACAAAGTTGTAATCATTTAATGGAGCATCAAATCGGAAGCTAACTTCAGTGCCGATTATCTGAACACCGGAACATACAATGATGGGTATTGGTGGATAGACGGAATGTTTTTCCGGTAGCACAGGAAGTGTAGTAAAGGTCGCTGCATCACATGGATCCTACGGGCAGCCGTGGATTTTACATTCATTGAGTTAAAACTCTGGTTCTAGGAGGGGACGCGGGACCAGCATCATGCCGCTATCGGACTTCCTGGACGGCCTGAAGGACAACCCGTACTTCGGTGCTGGGTTCGGACTGGTCGGGGTCGGGACAGCGCTGGCCGTGGCCAGAAAGGGAGCCCAGGTGGGCATGGTGTTTTTCCGAAGGAACTACATGATCACCCTGGAGGTTCCCAGCAGGGACAAGAGCTACCACTGGCTGCTGAGCTGGATCACCAAGCACGCCACTCACACGCAGCACCTCAGCGTGGAAACTTCCTACATGGCACACGAGAGCGGACGGGTCCACACGCAGTTCGACTTCCACCCGAGTCCAGGGAACCACATCATCTGGTGAGGAAAACCTCCAGCTCCGTTCAGTTAAACTTTGTTGCGCATCTAAACTGGATTTTACGGCTGCATGCTGCCTTCAAGTACACCTCGTTAATTTAATGATCGTATCAGTTTAGAGACTTCGCAGCTATCTTGTTCATATAATGCTGATGTGTACTAATTGTAGTAGAATCTACCAATTTCAAATAGCTATTTAAGTATATTATCTACAATATGTTATTTATTATAGTATATTTTATATACAAAGTGTCCTCGAATGGAAGCGCGACCGTAAGAACAACTATAGAAGCGCAACGATTTTAAAAGGTATGTTTCTGAATTGTTGATTGTGTGACTGCAGTGTTTTAATATGCGGTCACACGATATTTATTGACAACATTTGTGTAGTTAAATCATTTTGACCTTGTTTTGTATAACCTCTTTCTTTTTAGCAAGAAACATTCCTTATGGTCCAGAGACAACGGATGAAAAATAGGGTTTTGGCTAATTCTGGCCCATTTACAAAAATGTTAATGACTGTGCAAATAAATTAATACATTTCAAATAAACACACACCCATATCAGTATTTGATATAAAGATGTCAGCTGGATGTGATCCACCTGGTGTCCAGGTACGGCAGGAAGTGGATCCGGGTGGAGCGGACCAGGGAGAAGCAGATGCTGAATCTGCAGACCGGGACTCCGTGGGAGTCCATCACCTTCACCGCTCTGGGCAGAGACCGGCAGATCTTCTTCAACATCCTGCAGGAAGGTACACAGGAAAACTCTCAGCCTTTAATTAGGCCTGCTGAAAACGATTATTTTAGTAATCTACCAATTATTCTGACGATTAATTGAATAAAAATTCAATTAATCGATCATACGTCACTTTCAGAAAAAAAAAACTAAAAACATAAAGAAAAAATTCAAGAGAAATCATATTGTATATACAGCATTAAAGTTCAAATGTTTTGACTTAAACACTTATTTTCATTTCATAAAACATAATGTATAAAACAAATTTAGCTCATTCTTCCTCCGTATAAGTTAGGAATGGTTTTAAAGAAGCAACATTTGTGTATGTGACATTTGGCCAACAGAATGTTATTTGTCGTAGTCGATGTTTTGGTCATTAATAAAAACACCAAATTTACCCTCTTATATTCGGTAAATGAACTCAGATGGACTGGTGAAGATCCAGTCAAAAGGATCCAAACCTGCGTCTCATGAAGTAATTATTCGGATAAATTTAGTTTAACTTTTATTTTGGAGGCGACAGTCAGAGCTGAATGTGTTGGTGTTGTGATGGTGTCGTGCAGCGCGGGAGCTGGCGCTGAAGCAGGAGGAGGGACGCACCGTCATGTACACGGCCATGGGCGGTGAGTGGAGGCCCTTCGGGTTTCCACGGCGACGCCGGCCCCTCAGCTCCGTGGTGCTGGAGGCCGGCGTGGCCGAGCGCTTGGTGGACGACGTGAAGGATTTCATCGGAAACCCGCGCTGGTACACGGACAGAGGTGAAGGACCGGTTCTGGTGTCGGGCGGTGCCGACCCGTCCAGGTCGGGTTCCAGGTTCTGATCCCGTCTGTGTGTGTTCAGGGATTCCCTACAGGAGAGGGTACCTGCTGTTCGGGCCCCCAGGATGCGGGAAGAGCAGCTTCATGTGAGTCGTCCTGCCGCGGCGTGTCGGTGTGAACGCTCCCGCGGTTCTGACCCGGTCCGGTTCTGTTGCAGCACGGCGCTGGCCGGCGAGTTGGGCTACAGCATCTGCCTGATGAGCCTGAGCGACCGGACGCTGTCAGACGACCGGCTCAACCACCTGCTGAGCGTGGCGCCGCAGCAGAGCATCATCCTGCTGGAGGACGTGGACGCCGCCTTCGTCAGCCGGGAGCTGCTGCCCAACGAGAGTGAGAGCCGAGCAGAACCGGCCGACCCGACCAGAACCGGAACGCTGACCGGTTCTCCTCCTCTCTTCCAGACCCGCTGGCCTACCAGGGAATGGGCCGCCTGACCTTCAGCGGCCTGCTGAACTCGCTGGACGGAGTGGCTTCGTCTGAGGCCAGAATCGTCTTCATGACCACCAACTTCATCGACAGGTGCAATATTGATTATTGATCAACGATTATTGATTAAAAACAGTCTTGATTCAAAGGAAATATTTCCCATTGCTCAATGATAAAAAATCTCTCTTAAAAAGTCTCGTTGACCTTTGACCCACAGTTAAAATTTCCACTTTTTGCCCCTGAGGTCCAAAACAATGCGTCTCATAATTTGTGAATAAAATTTTTATTTTTTTCCATTTTCACCACAAAAACTGCTTCAGACCTCAACATAAAATTACAGTAAAATCTTTTTTCTGTTTTATATATATTTTTCTTTTTTCATGAGAAAACTTTTTCTAAAGAATTAGCTGCAAAGGAGATAATATGCAATGATTTTATTACATATCTGATTGATTTTATGCATTTATTTTTTTAAATACTTTTTAACCTTAATTATTTAATATAAAGGATGCTACTTGTAGCTTAACATTTCATTATTTTCCAATGTGTGGCATTTAATTTAAATAAATGCCACACTCTTGCTCTCCCAGGTTGGACCCGGCGCTGATCCGGCCCGGCCGGGTCGACCTGAAGCAGTACATCGGTCACTGCACCGCCTGGCAGCTGGCCCAGATGTTCCGACGGTTCTACCCGGACCAGCCGCCGTCGGAAGGAGATCGCTTCGCTAAGCTAGCGTTAGCTGTGCATACGGAGATCAGCGCCGCTCAGGTCCAAGGACACTTCCTGCTGCACAAAATGGATCCAGCAGGATCCATAGACAATGTGGCCCAAATACGAGGATGATGGATCGGAACCGGACTCGGACCGAACAGAATAAAGACTTTATTTAACAGGAAGCCTCTAGTTTATTAAGAACAACAATAAACCAAAGTTGGTTAGATATACAGTTTGTTTTATGTGATATTTCTTTGTAAAAAACTGCCTGTTTCCTGACCCGAAGTTCCTAAATATTGGAGTAAAAAAGGTATTTTTTGGTTATCTGGGAATGTTTTATTCCACCTGCAGTTGTCTCGTAAAATATTTTGAAAAAAAGTTACATATTTTAAGATGTTTTGCTGCAGATTCTGTGCTGAAATCTTTCTTTATATGCAAACAATGTGAATCAAAATGAAAAACAGCCAGTTACTTGAACGTTCACTGGCTTAAAAACATAATGAGATTGAACCACTTTGTAATTTAAACTTTCTTCAGGAGATCGTTGTTCTTATTTCAACAGTCAGTTGAATGTGCAGTGGCAGCTGCTCCCAGATATAACAATGAAATGCATAGAAATTGTACTACATGAGCCAGTTTTCTCTACCTAAATGTAATCTGTATTATTTCCACATTTCCACCAACTAGCTCTTCAGCAGTGAAATTAGCGCTATAGAGGTGAAGCTGTGAAGCTAAATATCCTAAATAAATGTCTTGTTACTGGGGACATTTGGCCAATCAGCATCGCTGACCTTAATGTTCGCTCCGCCATAAACGCAGGAAAGTCTTTGGTTACCATGGTGATAAATTGATAATGACAGCAGGTAGATAAGGAGAAGTTCAGATTGAATTCTCCATCTTGAATCGGAACAAAGGATTTTCAAGATGGCCGCTAAACTACAGGTTCTGTTTTCTGCGTGTTATTAGTTTCAGCTTCCATGTTGCCGTTTACTCTGTTGGATCTGCAGCTACACCGACATGCTAACACCGTTAGCCTAACGGTTAGCTCACTTCCTCGTATCTTCTTCTGAAAATACGAGGAATACTCGTACTTCATAGCTTAAGTACTAGGGATAAAATGGCTTGTTTTTAGAAAATCTGCATTTTTAAAAGTGTACAGCTTTTGAACATGCAGAACCAGTTCCTTTCTAAGAGCCGGAATCCCAATAAAGGAAAATGATCATAGCAGGACCAGTTTAGCTCTGTTGTTGAAATACTGTCCAGAAAC